ATGATGATGATGATGATGCAAAAATCACAATGTGGGGGAAACCGTGCAGCCAGCCAATGCCTCTACGTGGCTCCATCCTTATTTCAGACATTGTGATATATTGGCACCAGTATGTCGCCATGTTTAGCCGGTGATATCAATGTTGTAAACCAGATATCGCCCAGCCACAGTTGCACCCTACATCACCCCTTTGCAGTGGGGCATCTACAGCACCCGGATGTTGTTGGGCCATGACTTGAATATCAGCAATCCAGTCTAGGGACCTGATGTCTGACATCATCGGGAGGGCCATATGGTCCTCATCCTTGGTTGAGAGCATGAGTTATGAGCTCAATTCACAGCTCAGCCATGAACTCACCAGATGGGCTCGCACATTCCCTGCCACATGGGGAGAATAAATGCCGACCTTCCTTTCTGAACACGTGCTCTTTCCTCCTGTATTGTAATACAAACCAAGGTGCTTGTTGCAAGCATTGCTGAGACGATCTGCACAAAAGGGTCAATACAAATGCTAAAGTTTATTCAAATCTTACAGCGCTTATGAGAAATGTTTGAGCTTGGGGTTTAGGGAATGATATTCATGGCTGGTCATCTAGCTTTGCACATATACATGTACTGTTGTGCAAGGAGGAGACAGGATATGATACATTTAGAAGATTTTTATTGTGATTAATGTAGCACCATCAGTAAATGCTTTTCTCTCGTGCAAGCACACACACAATCTTTTGTGTTCCTTAGCTTTTCAACAGCTTAGTTCTTCTTTTCCTTCTGAAAAGAACCAAGATATATTGCATCTAGGTGGAGGTTTTTTTCCCCCAAGTGAGAGATTTTTTTCCCTTGAAAAATAATGGCAATTGACAGCCTTGGGATATGAGAAGAATTGATTGCTTTGGGGCCCCATCTAAGACTAGAATCAGATGTAGAATTTCCTTTGCACACCATAAAACCCTGGCCTTGATCTCCCAGAAGAAGGAAGCCAGCAAAACCACCTCTCCACAGGCTCTCAACATGCTGTCTCGGCACACAGATGTTTCCATCAAAAGACTGCTTCCCGCTGTCTTTTTTTTATTTTATTTAAACAAAACCCTCCCCCACCTCCATCACTTCTGATGGACTTTGAATTCTTTTCATCTGACATATGCCTGTCATCTTCTGTTTCCCGTTTAAGATAAAATATCCAAAACTTGTTTCTTCTACCTTTGGTTTTTTGATCCTATCAAGGCCATATCTGCAACGGAGGCTTCTCTGCCAGGGCTAATAGCAAGAAGAATTCTTTTTTTAAAAAAACAACACAAAAACCCCTGCCTCTATGCCTCAGTTCTGATCCGATAAGGTCTCACAAGGGCTGTTATTTACAGTATTAGAAAGATTTGCCAAATATTGTGTGGTACATTCAGCATCCTGTCTAGTTGGGCCCTCTTGCTTGCAATTAATTTTAAATATTAACATTTCTTCTATTAGGAATATTAGCAAGGTGATAAATAAATGGGTAGCCATTTTTGAAAAGGCAGCCTGTTTAAAGCATGCCAATTTTTTGTTTAATATGTTTATATGCTACCTTTCCACATGATACAGTAGTCTGAAAGGTGGGTAACATAAATATATAAAATACCATTCAGATTATTTATTTTTTTAAAAACCCATCCTACACAGAGTAGACCTACTGAAGTTATTGGACATAGCTAACATAGTTGGCTACAACCCTAAAAATGTAAGTCTATTCAGAAATAGGTCCCATGCAGTTCCACTGGGATTATCCCTAGGTAAACAGGTAGAGGATTGCAGCCTTAAACACATAAAAATAATGAGAGTCAAGCATGGGCAAGAAAGGACGAAACTCAAAGCTGAACATTTGATCAACTGAATTGTAAATGTGGTGTGTGTGTGTGCGTGCGTGTGTGTGTGTGTGTGTGTGTGCATGTCCGTCCATCCCTGCTGCTGAGAGATGCCCTGCGAGTTCTCCTTTTATTCTTTTATCCATCTTCGCTTTCTGATGCTAAACTTCTTTTTCTTGCTCACTGCTCTGATCGCGTAATCCCCTTGGCACTTTTAAGACTGTCTTTGTTGGTTTCGCCATGCACTATATTAACATGAAAGCTTCTTAGCATCCTTTTTAAAGGTCTTGTGTCCTTTTCCTTCTGGCTTTCCATTAAGCGTCCCATTTCTTTCAGGCCAGCAATTCCATCTCCTTAATCAGTCCATTTGTTTGGGGCTCCCATACATGCCTTGTAGCTTTTACCCAGGCCACCCTGCTCACCCTCAGGCCTGCTTTTACTCTCTCTCTCTCTCTCTCTCTCTCTCTCCAATCTCCTTTGGTAAGGTCTCTTTTACATTGTCCATATGCAAGTCCCTTTTTTGAGATCTCCCTTTGTTACACTGCTTCCGGGGAACCAATTTTAGAAGAAAACCTCCGAACTGTTTCTCCTGGCAGCCATTTTTAACTTGTGGTATGCTGAAGAATTGATGCTTTTGAATTCTGGTGCTGGAGGAGACTCTTGAGAGTCCCATGGATAGCAAGAAGATCAAACCTCTCCATTCTGAAGGAAATCAGCCCTGGGTGCTCACTGGAAGGACAGATCCTGAAGCTGAGGCTCCAATACTTTGGCCACTTCATGAGAAGAGAAGACTCCCTGGAAAAGACCCTGATGTTGGGAAAGATGGAGGGCACAAGGAGAAGGGGACGACAGAGGACGAGATGGTTCGACAGTGTTCTCGAAGCTACCAGCATGAGTTTGACCAAACTGCAGGAGGCAGTGGAAGACAGGAGTGCCTGGCATGCTCTGGTCCATGGGGTCATGAAGAGTTGGACACGACTAAACAACAACAATGCTGCAGCCGCTTTGCATTTAACTGCTGCTGAAATCAGCTAGGGCCTGGACCAAAGGACTTTCAGACTCCTTTAGATGGACTGGAGAAGGTTAGGGAACATCACGGCATATTGCAAGGGGCTCCTTAAGCAGAGTGGGAAGCTATCGCATTAGGCGAATGCCTTTGAGCTACAGAATGAGCAGCTAGAAGTACCAAGTTCCTCCTTGTCCCAACAGGGGGGACCTGGAGCTATAGTTCTGCAATTTTTAATTAAGCCATTTTCTCCATGCCATCACAAACAATCACCGGACCCGCCCTCCCCCCTGGCTGGAGACCCAGGAAAGTCACCACTGCCCGTCAAAGTAATAGTGTTGTCTAGTTCAATGGCTAGTTCATTGTTGTTGTTTAGTCGTCTAGTCGTGTCCCCGGAGCTTGCGGGGCGGGAGGTGGGAAGAAGGGCTTTTCTTCCCACCGCCAGCCTTCAGAACAGCCTTCTGAAGGCTGGCAGTGGGAAGAAAAGCCCTTGTCCCCCCCCCCCAGCCTTCAGAAGAGGTCGGGGGACAGACTGTCCCCGGACCTGGTCTGAAGGCGGTTTCCCTAGGAACGCATTAATTGATTTTCAATGCATTCCTATGGGAAACCGTGCATCGCAAGACGAAAAACTCGCAAGACGAAGAGACTTGCGGAACGAATTAATTTCGTCTTGCGAGGCACCACTGTACTTTTTATATAGTCAATATAGGCACAGAGTTAATTTTTTTAACATTTTCTAATGGTGGTGTGCCTCGAGATTTTTTTCATGAAAGAAGTGTGCCTTTGCCCAAAAAAGGTTGGGAAACACTGGTCTAGTTGGCTAGTTCATTAGTGTTGCTTTAAATTGGGGAAAGGGACTGGGCTAAATGTATGAATACATAAGCAACGAATAATGGATGGCTCAAATAGTGGCTTAGGAATGAGACTTAACAGGAAAGAGTGTTGACTGGCTTATAGCTTAGGATCTAGTATCAAACAATATGCAAACTCATATAATACCAGTGGCTGGTTCTTGGAGCAAAAAGAGAGGCATTAGAAGGATTTCTGCTGGGTTGATGGAAGAAATTGCAAGAGCAGACCAAAGACTATTTCTGTATGCCACAGTTGCGGCAAGAACTTTATTAGCGCAAAAGTGGAAATTGCAAGAAATACCAACGATTGCGGAGTGGCAAGCGAAAATGATGGACTATGCAGAATTGGCAAAACTGATTTGCAGGGTCAGGAATCAGGACGACATAAAATTCCAGAGAGACTGGAGTAAATTTATTGATTAAATTAATAATCATTGTAAAAGTTTGAAGACACTAGCAGGACTGAAATAATTCCTACGACGTGGACTTTACAGTTTAAGTTACAAATGTGAGCTATAAATTGGTAATAGAAAGCTTGTTGAAGGGGGGGAGGAAGTCTTAAGCTCAGCAGAGCATGGAAAGATTGGATTGGTGATGTAAATTGAAAATATTGTTTGATGAGAAAATGAATAAAAATTATATTTTTTTTAAAAATAGACCTGAAAATAAAGGGGGGGGGGAATCACAACAGAAATGCAGTGGACAGGAGAAGGATGCCGTAATCCACACACGCGGCAATTCTTCACTCACAATCACCTCCCATTGGGGTTGAAATACTACATGCACTTGTAAGTCACATGCAGTTGTGCTCCTTGAACTGTTCCCTGTAGGCAGTTCTGCAGCAGTCGAATGAAAAGGGACTTCTGCGATGGGGAGCAACAGGGCAGGATTATGGGATATAAGACGTAACTAACTCTATGATCCAATTCCCTTTTGATATCCAGGCTCAGAATATAGTTATTAATATGTCAAAATGTTGCTCTTCAAATCCGACAAACTCAGTACAGTGGTACCTCGGGTTACATACGCTTCAGGTTACAGACGCTTCAGGTTACAGACTCCGCTAACCCAGAAATAGTACCTCAGGTTAAGAACTTTGCTTCAGGATGAGAACAGAAATCGTGCTCCTGCGGCGCGGCAGCAGCAGGAAGCCCCATTAGCTAAAGTGGTGCTTCAGGTTAAGAACAGTTCCAGGTTAAGAACGGACCTCCGGAACGAATTAAGTACGTAACCAGAGGTACCACTGTAATGCTATTGGTAGTCTTATTCACCATGCTTTCTTTTTGTCTCTATCTCTTTCCCCCTTAGGGACCAGCTGGACGTTACCTCAAGCTAGACGCTGTCATGGCCTGCCTCCATGAGACCCGCACACCTTCTCCATCCTTTGGCAGTTTCAACACCATCTTGGCGGAGAGCTCCCTCCGCAAGCTGGACCCCGACGCCTCGGACTGCACCCCTGAGAAGGACCTGACGCCCACCCAGTGTGTGCTGAGAGATGTGCTGCCCATCGACGGGGGTGGAGGCGGGGGCAGTGGGCACAGCCCCAGTCCCAGCGAGGAGGCACACGACCAGTTTGCCAACAGCGTGTTGCAGCTCCACGAGAACGAAGCTGGCGGGGGAGGCGGGGCTGGCGCAGGGGCCTGCCCGGGGAACCCCGAGGTGCGGCCTACCCGTTACCACGCCGACCAAGTACGGATCCACTGCCACACAGGGAGCGGCTTCCTGGAAGGCCTGTTTGGTTGCCTCAAGCCTGTCTGGACCATGATTGGCAAGGCGTATTCCACTGAACACAAACAGCAACAGGAAGGTGAGGAGACAGTGGGGGGCATTAAAGGAATCTTAGTGCGATAGGAACAACAATGGAAGGAGGCAGAGTATGTCCTTTGTGTGCAAGAAAGTCCTGGATTTGATCACCAATTATTGCTATTATTTAAACATTTTACTTTTTATTTTCTTACACCAGGGGTCTCCAAGCTTTCCTTGCCTCGGGCCAGTGTCTCCAGCGACAATTGAGCGGCGGGCCAGAGGGCGGGGGAGCATGCCCCTGTATGCGCACGCATATATGCTATTTCCAGTGCACATCCGGTTTGGAGGAGGCCTGTGTGCATGCACACAAGCTATTTCTGGTGCTCCTCCGACCCGGAAGTGGGTTCCCGCGCTGCACCGTGCCGCACCGGTAAGAGCAGGCGACGGGGGTTGCTGTGGGCCGGATAAACGAGTCCCTCGGGGTCTTTACTGCACATTCGTTCCGATTTGTTTGTGGGGTGGTTAATGCAACAATGAGCATTTATCCTGATTTTCTTGTGGTGTGTTTGCAAATTTTCATGATAGTTCATCCCACACTTTTCTGTACATTCCTTCTCAACTGCAAAAAGTATGGGATTTTTTTGGTTTGATTTTGAAAAGCAGATTTGTAGCTCCAGAGTGACACGACCGTTTAAGAATGCACTTTAAAGGTGGGAACCTAAAGTTTGGCGGGTGCTTGAATTTGTCCCACAAATTACTGGCAATCTGAAAGTGCCCTAAATCAGATGTGGTGGCAGCAAGGATGTTATGCACCACTTTGGCCAGAGGCCATTCATCTGCCCTGTGATCTTTCTGGCACATTCCTGCCCAGACAAACACGGCAACGCCAATCTCTCGGGTGGCATCTGTGCCCAGGCGTGGCTCCGGCCAGCTTCACTGGTTATATAACTTGAGATGCAAAGTGCATCCTTGGGAGAATCAGTCTCCATCCTGGGGACACATTCAGTGGTCAGGGATTGCTGCAATGCGCTCTACCTGGGATTGCCTTAGAGACGGCGGCTGATCCAGAACGCAGCCATTAGACTCTTAATGTTTTCTAGCCAAAGGGGCCGCGTTGCATACTTCTCTCCTGAAAAGATCTGCACTATTTGCCAGTTTGCTTCTGGGCCCGAGTCAAAGTGCTGTTTTCGACCACTTCAGTTCTGCAAATACAAAGAACTGCAGGGAGAAGGAACGTCCTCTAGCAGCGTGTGCCTAACCATTGTAATATAGATTGGGTGCGTGCACCTGCCAAGATGGGTTTTGTTACAAATCCCGCGGGGAGATTTTTCCATCCCAGACGGCAATTGTGGTAGGTGTTGCTTACTTGAATTCATTCTCAATACTCCAGGCTTGTTAAGCAGGGCAGCTTAACCCTTTCCTTACGGTGAGGTGCGTTGATTGCTTACCATGCAAATAGATGTGAGGTGAGGAACAGGATTGGATGAATGGCTGCTGATGTCACTCATTGGGATTAACGTGCCTCCATAAATAGGAAGCTACCTTATACTGAGTCAGGCCATTGGTCAGTCTAGCTCAGGCCTACAATGACTGGCAGATGCTCGCTAGTTTTTCAGACTGGGTTCTTTCTCAACCCTACCTGAAGATGCTGGGGTTTAAATCTGGGACCTTTTGCATGCAGATCAGATGATCTACTGCTGAGCTACACCCCTACATCCGGGAAAAGTACTGCCATGCAGCTTATAGACAGAAGAGGCGTATGAGGGTCCCTTACAGAATTCCCCAAGCAAAGGCTTACCTTTCCTTGCCTCTGTTTTCTGATGATGCCTCTTCCCATTGGCTACCCCTGCTCTAGAGTCTGCCAGTTGTGGCCTCCCCTGGCCTTGCAGCTTTGTGAGCTGGCAACCCTAAGGACTAAAAAGTAGGGTGGGTGTTGGGCATTTCACCTGTGGATGAGCTCACACCATCCAAGTGAATGTGGACCATCCTTTTATTACGATGCTGGCGTGTGTGTTCATACACAAGGGGTCATCAGCCCATTTTCTCTCACCTGTGGTCTTCTGAAACAAATAGGACAGGTATTTCCAGCTGTTACAACTGAATGACTCTTACATGCAGTGGTACCTTGGTACTCGAACAGCTTGGCTCCCAAACATATCGGCTCCCAAACGTCGCAAACCCGGAAGTAAGTTCTGGTTTGCAAAAGTTTTTTAGAAGCCGAATATCTGATGCGGCTTCCGCTTGAGTGCAGGAAGCTCCTGCAGCCAATTGGAAGCCGCAACTTGGTTTTCGAATGGTTTCGGGAGTTGAACGGACTCCCAGAATGGATTAAGTTCGAGAACCAAGGTACCACTGTACTTCCTCCTCCTTTGAAAACACGTGGATGGGTCTGGACAATTTTCAGGCTCAAAATGCAGAATCAAGTCCCACATTTCCTTCCCTCTGGTCCTTTTTCTTATGCTCCCCCAGCTACACTGGAGCTACCTTTCCGTGACCAGTTCATGCACGGCTGGGATTTAAATGGCCCCATGAGGTGGGCAGGGGGTAACTGCCTGGGGAGAAGCAAAGAGCTGTGAGGAGTATTGGCCCATGAGGCAAGGGGAGGTGACCACCTCAGGGGGCAGGATCCACAGGGGCAGCAGATCCCCATGTAGATATTTATTCCCCCTTTCTTCCTGATGTAGGGAACTGTTCCTTGGCAGGGTAGGCAGGCACCATGTTGTGGTTCGACACAGGTGCCAAAATGTATTGGACCAGGCAGCGCTCCATCACAGGGACATAGGAACCTGCTCTACAGAGTCAGGCTGTTGGTCCTTCTAGCTCAGAATTGTCAACACTGACCAGCAATTGCTCTCCATGGTTTCAGGAAGGAGACATTCCCAGCCCTACCTGGGGATATCAAGGATTGAACCTGGGACCTTCTGCCCTTCTCCTCAGCCCTGGAAATCCCACACACACACACACACACAGAGAGAGAGAGAGAGAGAGAGAGAGCGCTTCTACATTTTCCCTACACATTGGCCTCACACTTTCAAGCTATCTTCACTGCCATGAGGGATAGAAACTCGGTTTGAGTATTTTTTTTAACCAAGAGCTGAGGTTCTCAGAATACTGAATGTTTAAGCCTGCAGGAGAGAGAGTAAAGAAAGATAAATTTCTACCGTCTTGAACCTGGGAACGGGCTGCCAAGAAGACAGACGTTTTGGGAAAGTTCATTGACTGTGAATAAAACGTACGTTGACAGATAGTTAAATAAGAGAAACATATTGATTCCAATGTTTCCTTTTGCACTTAAAAGGAACAAAATATTTGAAAAACGAAAGTAATTTTGTTGCTGGATCTGCTTTTAAAAGGACGGATACAAATAGAAATTGTTTCACCTAGAGGGAGCTTTTGAAACTGTTGTTGGAGTGGACCTGGGGAACTCTACAGCTGTAGAGATTAAAGATCGTGAGAACTAGACATTGACCTTGAACAAGAATGTGGACAGAAGAAGCCTTAGTGATTGCTTTTTGCAAAACAAGTGCCTTATTGGAACAGCTTCATGAGAAGATGGTTTTGATGACTACTGCAATTGATAATTTTGGACAAACAGTGAACACCTATATAGAACCTTTTCAGGAACTGACCCAGGAATCTGCTTTGACAGGGCAAGCTGCGGAGAAGACAAAGGAGGAGGTTGTTGTTGAACCTCAAGTAATACAAGTGGAGAGAGCCGCGGCCTTGCAGGAACATAAGCTGTTGTTTCTGATGACCGAATCTGGAGTGAGCCAGACTTGGAGAGACGGAGTCCCGTTTGGACTGGAGATGGAAAGTTGGATAGATCCCCCTATGCAGGGATGTTCTGGCTTTTGGGACCTGGTTTTGGGCCAGGGGGAGACTGGAGTTGTGGGGGCCTTTAATTTTGGAGGGACATTGAAGCATGCTTTGAAATATCCTTTGGATTTTAGTGCAGACCATGGAGAATGGGCTGACCTGTCGAGAAGGGATAAAGACATTGTTAGGTTGGAGTCTCCCCGAGATTTACTCCTTAGTGACAAAGGAAGGAAATTAAGAACAAGATCAGCAGAAGATAAAGTAAAGTGCATGTATAAATATGAAGAAGATCTGCAGAAGGGACATGGAAAAGAGTTAAGAGCCTCGGACAGAAGATCACCAGGTTGATGGACTAGATGGAATAGACAGAAAGGACTGACAGAACCCGAGACCAGGAAGAAGAGACGGTGGATGAAGATTGGAAGAAAGTTTAAAAAATCATTTAGAGAAATATTGTAAAATTAATGAGTGTTAGAAAAATGTTGGAATGAAACTATTTGGCTTTAGTAGAAATGCTATAAGGAGTTATGTACAAATAAGTTTTTAAGTTTTAGGGCTTTTTATGGTAAGATAAGGTTAAAATAAATTAAGACAACCAAAGGACAGAATATAGTGAAAGATGGAAAGGATTTGCTGAGATAATTAATAATTAGAATACAAAAAAGGGAGGTGTGAGGAGGTCGATGAAACAAGTTAATGAAAGATAAAGATATGGGAATATTGGATTTGTTTTTTTGTTTTGTTTTTTGCTTTTGTTTTTGATTTTGATGTATTGTGTGTTTTGTACTCTTTTTTCTTTTTATTGACTTGTATTGTTTAATTTCTTTTTTCTCTTTTTTCTTTTTCTTCTGTAATTTTAAATTCTTAATAAACATCATTTTTTTAAAAAAAAACAGAATACTGAATGTTACGTCTCTGCCGTGTTTCCGTTTGCCCTTCTAATACGTGCTTGCTTTCGCGATTGCTACGTGAGGGTTATGTCTCCCTCAAGCCCTGTGATCTTGGCGGAAGGAGTGATCCATGCTGGTAGAGAGTCTGCCTTCCTCCTCCTCCTCCTTCTCCTTCCCTTGAACGGTTGTCGACAGCCACCTTCTCTCCCTCCCAAATGCAGACCCCTGGGAGGTGCCCTTCGAAGAGATCATGGACCTGCAGTGGGTGGGCAGTGGGGCCCAAGGCGCTGTCTTCCTGGGACGCTTCCATGGGGAGGAGGTGGCCGTCAAGAAGGTGAGAGACCTCAAGGAGACAGACATCAAGCACCTGCGGAAACTGAAGCACCCCAACATCATCACCTTCAAGTGAGTGTGGGATCTGGGTGATGGGGGGGTGACCTGCCGGCTTCCAGGAGGACAGTGCCCAAGTGTGGTGTGGACATTGCCTTTTCCAAGCAATAGACCCTCCTCCTGTTGGGTTGTTCACCTGCTCACCTTCGCTGGGCACAAGCCATCTTTCCCATGAGAGCATATAGCTAACTGTGTGTGTGCTTGGTTCAGCCTTCTGCAACTTGGTGCCCACCAGAGAATTTATATGAAGAGTGTTTATGAAAGTGTTTGCTACTGCCCTGTCATACAATATCAGAGCATTACACAACAATATACATTCAGGTAGGTAGCCGTGTTGGTCTGACGCAGTCAGAAGCAGCTGAGAGACCAACTAGGTTTGTTCTTGGTATAAGCTTTCGTGTGCATGCACTTCTGAAGAAGTGTGTATCTGAAGAAGTGTGCATGCACACGAAAGCTTATACCAAGAACAAACTTAGCTGATCTCTAAGGTGCTACTGGGCAATTTTTTATATATAGTTATATACAGTTATATACAGTTATATATATACATAAATAGGGACGCGGGTGGCGCTGTGGGTAAAACCTCAGTGCCTAGGACTTGCCGATCGTAAGGTCGGCGGTTCGAATCCCCGTAACGGGGTGAGCTCCCATCTTTCGGTCCCAGCTCCTGTCAAGCTAGCAGTTCAAAAGCACTCCTAAGTGCAAGTAGATAAATAGGGACCGCTTTATAGCGGGAAGGTAAATAGCGTTTCCGTGTGCGGCGCTGGCGCTGGCTCGCCAGATGCAGCTTCGTCACGCTGGCCACGTGACCCGGAAGTGTCTTCGGACAGCGCCGGCTCCCGGCCTCTTGAGCGAGATGAGCGCGCAACCCTAGAGTCAGTCACGACTGGCCTTCGGGCAGGGGTACCTTTACCTTTTTATATACATAAAACAATAAACATTAAAAGCAGGACAGAATATGTTAGGTCCCTTGATTTCAGTAGGTCTGCTCTGAGTAAGAGTAGTAGGTTTGTTGTTGTTGTTCTTGTTGTTGTTTTACTTTGTTGTTGTTATTTTACTCACTCATCTGGCTAGGCCTCCCCTGCCACTCTGGGCAGCTCCTAACAGAATATTAAAAACCCAATAAAACACCAAACATTAAAACTTCCCTAAACAGGGCTGCCTTCAGATGTCTTCTAAAAGTCAAGTAGTTGTTTATTTCCTTGACATCTGATGGGAGGGCGTTCCACAGGGCGGGCACCACTGCCGAGAAAGCCCTCAGCCTAATTCCCTGTAACTTCACTTCTCGCAGTGAGCGAACCACCAGAAGGCCCTTGGGGCTGGACCTCAGTAATCAGGCTGAACGATGGGGGTGGAGACGCTCCTTCAGGTATACTAGGGCCTGAGGCCATTTAGGGCTTTAGGGCCACCCTTTGACTTCTGCATGATGGGAATATCATAGAATTGTAGCTGGAAGGAACAGTAAGGGTAATCTAGTTCAACCCATGCAATGCAGAAATCACAGCTAAATAATCCCTGATAGATGGCCATCCAAACTCTGCTTTAAAATCTCCAACGAAGGAGACTCTGTCTGCCATATGAAGGTAAAAGTTTCATCTGTTGGCCTTTGACCACTCCTTCTTTTGCTTCTGGTCCCACCCACCACTGGCCTGCAGCCCCCAAGAAGTTGCTCACAAGGAAATACGGCCCTTGGACTGGAAGCAATGCCCCAGTCCTGTGATAAAGCTTACAGAATTCTGTATCTCTGCTCTGTGTTATGCTGAGCACTGCTTAACTGTGTGTTCCTGCTGGCCTCTAACATACCCTGTGCTTCTTCCTTCCTCTTAGGGGTGTTTGCACCCAGGCCCCCTGCTACTGCATCATCATGGAGTTCTGTGCCCAGGGACAGCTGTATGAAGTGCTGCGTGCCGGGCGCAAGGTCACCCCCTCGCTGCTGGTCGACTGGTCCATGGGCATTGCCGGTGGCATGAATTATCTGCACCTGCATAAGATCATCCACCGCGACCTCAAGTCACCCAAGTAAGAAGGGGAGGGGGCAGACTTACAGTGGGGAGACGTGGCTGGGAGTTACCTAGTGAGCACTAGGGCCGGGTGATATCTGGTTTTACGGACACACCGCTAAGACTGTGTTCATGGAAGACCATCTTACTCGGCCACGAGTGATCGCTGAGAGAGGGAGAGAGGTTCTCGGCATTGCAATACGTCACCAACTAAACATTGCGATATACCGATATATCACAATGTCTGAAATAAGGATGAAACTATGTCGAAGTGAACAAGAGAGCTGGGCAATATCTGGTTTTCAACATCGTGCTATATCACCAGCTAAACATCGCGATCTATCGATATATCACAATGTCTGAAATAAGGATCTGACTGAGCTATGTAGGTAGAGGCATTGGCTGGCTTCATGGTTTTCCCCACATCGTGATTTTTGCATACCATGCACAAGCACATCGTGATTTGTGATATACAGTGGTACCTCGAGATGCGAACGGGATCCGTTCTGGAGCCCCGTTTGCATCCTGAATAGAACGTAAGATGCAATGATAGGTCTGCGCATGCGCGGGTCGCATTTTGCCGCTTCCGCGCATGCGCGTGACGTCATTTTGAGCGCATGCGCAAGCGACGAAACCCGGAAGTAACATGCTCTGTTACTTCTGGGTTGCCGCAGAGTGCAACCCGAAAGCGCTCAACCTGAAGCACATTCAACCCGAGGTATGGCTGTATCACCAGGTCAAAACCTCTGGAACCAATATCATGACACGGACTTCAAACCAGTTTTGGTTGATATAGCAGTATATCGCCCAGCCCTAGTGATCACAAGATGGGATTAGGATACCGGGTCAGAACTTTCCTCTGATTTAAAAATCAGCACTGCTTTTAAAGTGGCAATAGGACTAGGACTTTCAGCATGTCAGGGTTGCAAGGGGCAGTATGTATTCTGCCTCCCTGCCAAATTACCAGCAAGGTAATCCAGATTCTTTGTCTAGACTCTAGAGCATAGAACCATTGAATTGTAGAGTTGGAAGGTGCCCGGGGGTCATCTAGTCCAGCCCCATGTGGAAGAGCAGTCTAGAACCAGAATGCTTCTCCCTCCGTTAGAAAGGAAGTTATCCTCTTGCTGTGCTCCCCCTGCTGACTGCTGAGAGCATGACTTCTCTTTCTTATTTTCCTTGGTCCTGCGCACGGTGGGAAGATCAACACTGCAATGCCTCATGTTTCTTCTTCTCTCCCTTCCCCACCCGCCCAATAGCATGTTGATCACTTACGATGATGTGGTGAAGATCTCTGACTTTGGCACCTCCAAAGAGCTCAGCGACAAGAGCACCAAGATGTCCTTCGCCGGAACGGTGGCCTGGATGGCCCCAGAAGTCATTCGGAATGAGCCTGTCTCTGAGAAGGTTGACATCTGGTGAGGAGACGGGCCTGCCCAGAAGAGGGGAGGTGTGGGAAGAGGGAGGGATCAGGGCTTGGTAGGCCACAAGAACACAAACACACACACATACAGAAATGTGAAGGCAGCCATCATGGAAATGGAGACTTTCTCAGCAGTCCCCAGCCCTTTGCAACAGGACCAGGAGAGAACCAGGTTCAAATCTTCCCTCATCCATCAAGCTCGTTGGTGACCTTGGGCCACTCACTACCTCTCAGCCTAACCTACCTCTCAGACTTGTTGTGAAGATATAAACATGGGCAGGGGTTGTGGGAGCCATGTGCTCTGGCTTGAGCTCGTTGGGTGTGAATGCAATTTAATTGAATTATCGTGAGGTGATTAAAATCCAACGCATAGAATAAAATACAAGGAAGGGAGATGGGGACCATTGAATGGAACTGCTTCCAAGAGTGGAACAAGAGGATTTAAAAATTCAGGTTGCACCCCAACTGCCAATCTGAAGAGGAAAATCTTCTGTCCCAGAGGGTAGCCAGCATGACAGGGGAGGATCCAGAACAGGGGCAGAGACCCAGAGGCCCTCCAGAGGTCCATCTTTGAATGTTGGCCATTCTGGCTGGGGCTGTTGGGAGCTGAAGTCCAGCAATATCTGGAGGATTCCAGCTTCCACATCCATGTTCTGGAACACGTCCCCATCAACCAAAAGTCCAGATAATATGTGATACAGAGCGGAGCCTTCAGATCTGTGCGCATCGTGCATATGTGTTTGTGGGCAAAGACACCCTTGAATTTTCATATTCTAGCATCCTCCTTCACAAATATACAGTACACATCTATATTGCACATAGTCCAGAAATTGGCAATCTGTGCTGAACACTTCCTGCTCCCCACAGCTGCCATATTTAGATGGCATCTGTGCAGGCAGGAATTGTCTTTATGTTATTTTGCTATAGCAACTAATAAACATAGGCATTTAAAAAGAAGGAGAACCCAAACATTTATTGATTTATTGATATAACCAATTTTCTGCTAGGCAGAAAAACCAGGTAGTTAAAAAACAACAACAGCAAGAACAACGGCCTGCAGTTTAACAGACGAGATACAGAATGGGAATGCAAGTGGGGAAATCAGTAGAGTTGACTACTGCCTGAGGCATTTTTGTGAGGGGAGGGGAGCTGAATGGCAGACAGACCTGACCAGCATGGCTGATGGAAGGGGTCTTGCTGTCTGGCCTCTCCCTCTCAAGCAGCCAGGGGGGTATAACAACTGCTTGGGGCGGGGGGAATAATCTACCTGGTTTGGTGAAAATACCACACCTCACCCTTTTCAGGGGCCATTGGAAGAAAGAGTCACCACATGATATCATGGGGAAATATCATTTCTCAGTTAATTCACATTTTAACTTGTCTATTTAGTTTGGGTAACTTATTGAGGAAGAGCAGAATTAAAATGCTAGATGATTCTACTACACAAAATTAGACTGGAAGAAGAGGGAGGAATGCAGAGGAAGGTGTGAGGGTTTTTCTACGTTCTCTATCCTGGGATGGCCAACAGGTAGACCCCTCCCACCCACTCCAAAAAAGCTCAACAACTTTGTTGTTGTTTAGTCGTTTAGTCATGTCCGACTCTTCGTGACCCCCATGGACCAGAGCACGCCAGGCACTCCTGTCTTCCACTGCCTCCCACAGTTTGGTCAAACTCATGCTGGTAGCTTCGAGAACACTGTCCAACCATCTCATCCTCTGTCGTCCCCTTCTCCTTGTGCCCTCCATCTTTCCCAACATCAGGGTCTTTTCCAGGGAGTCTTCTCTTCTCATGAGGTGGCCAAAGTATTGGAGCCTCAGCTTCACGATCTGTCCTTCCAGTGAGCACTCAGGGCTGATTTCCTTCAGAATGGATAGGTTGGATCTTCTTGCAGTCCATGGGACTCTCAAGAGTCTCCTCCAGCACCATAATTCAAAAGCATCAATTCTTGGAAAACTGCTGCAGAGTTTTGTGGAAATGGGAGCAGAATGCAATCAGTTGCTACATGCCAGATGGGCCCTGAGATTTAATTTCCCCACCACAGGTCCTTTGGAGTCGTCCTCTGGGAGTTGCTGACGGGAGAGATCCCTTACAAGGATGTGGACTCCTCCGCCATCATCTGGGGGGTGGGCAGCAACAGCCTCCACCTTCCTGTTCCCACCAGCTGCCCTGACGGTTTCAAGATCCTGCTAAGACAGTGCTGGTAAGTCCATGAGATGCAAAAAAGAGTGAGAAAAGCCCAGACGCCTCTCTCTGCATCAGGAGTGAGAACCTGGAACCTAGATGTGTGACTCTCCCCACCCAAATCACTGAATATTATACACAGCTAAGTCATTTTTGGAGACACGCTGGCAGGCCAACGAAAGGCACTTGTGTGTCGTTGTGCTCTGTGGGATGCTGTTTGTGCAGGATGGTGCTTGAACACTGAGGTCCAGCTCCGAGGGCCTTCTGGCAGTTCCCTCCCTGCGAGAAGTGAGGTTACAGGGAACCAGGCAGAGGGCCTTCTCGCTGGTGGCGCCTGCCCTGTGGAATGCCCTCCCATCAGATATAAACAACTATCTGACTTTTAGAAGACATCTGAAGGCAGCCCTGTTTACGGCAGTTTTTAATGTTTGATGTTTTAGCGTGTTTTTAATATTCTATTTGGGAGCCGATGGGTGGGGTATAAAAAAAAAAATTATTATCATGTGTTGTGTTGTCAAATGTTTGCCAGTGTGTCATGTGGAAACATTTCCGTCCCACTGCCAGAACTGTGTGGCACACACTTCACACAAGAAGAACAACATCTGGCCATAGGGAGGATTGGGGGAGAATCTTCCTCCATATTTATTTACCTCAAATATGCAGCGATCAGATTATCACTGGAGGCATTTTATTTATTTATTTATTTATTTATTTATTTATTTATTTATATATATATATATTATTTTTTCAAAAAATATAAGTTAAATTAAACAAAGAAAAACAAAGAACAATACATAACACTGTAAACACACTTATATACATATTTTCCAAAATGAAAACTAATAAAAATAATAAAAGGAAAGGAAAAATAAAAGATATAAAGGAAAAAAAAACTTTTCATAACCTGGAAATATTACCAAATTCTTGCTTCAAATACTGCAAGATATAAATCTTAGTTAAAATATTATAAAATACTCACCGCATTCCACCACACGACTCTTAGTTATCTTGCTCGCATTTACATCTGTTCTTCAATCATTTCCCTTCCTTAGATTCTTTCATAATCAAATCTTTATGTTCTCTGTATTCTTCACAAGCTTAGTCTAGATGCAACCAAACTTTCGTATTTGAGCCCTGCTTGTATAAATAATCATTTAAGCATTTCAATTGTTTCTGAATTAAAATTTTTGACTTATGCCTTATTAAATCCGTCAGGTTTAGCAAAAATAGGAAGCATTTATTTTTATTTTAAAGATGTACCTATTAACCTGTGCTGCACAAAATTCCCTGATGGGAACCCAGAAATGAGCATGGTAGTGGCTCCCTTTGCAATAGCCGCAGCAAATTTGGGGGGAAATGACCTTCTGCAGGCAAAGTAGATGGCCTATTGAGCGGTGGTTCTGCTAACCGATGCCTCCATCTACGGAGGGACACCAATTGCATGCTACCTCCAGTTCCCCATTCCATTCCTGGATGCCATCAAATGCAACCAATTACTCAGGGAGAGCCGCCTGGGCAGAGGATTGCCGTTAGCTCATGTCCACACCAGCTCCATCCGTCTGTTTCTCTCTACCCAGGAACAGCAAACCTCGGAACCGACCCTCCTTCCGCCAGATACTGCTCCACCTTGACATCGCGTCCGCCGATGTGCTGTCTACACCGCAAGAGACCTACTTCAAATCCCAGGTGGGTGTTGTTGGGCCAGTGCCTTTCTTCCAGCCCCCCATTGGGGGTCACACTCACTTCCTCTCCATTTTCCTCGTGGAGGTTAATACGGAGCTTTCCTCTCTCTTTCTCACCAGCCTATGTGTTGTTTTATTTATTTGCTATAGTTACCATATTTTTCGCTCTACAGGAGACACTTTTTCTGCTCCAAAAATTAAGGGGAAATGTGTGCGCGTCTTATGGAGCGAATGCAGGCTCCATAGGCTTCAGCGAAAGCAACATGAAGCCTCCAAAGAGCAGCGGGAGCGCTCCCGCCGTGCTCCAGAGGCTTTGGGCGGCTATCCCTGAAGCCTCCGGAGTGCAGGGGGAGCTGCCGCTGCGCTCCAGAGGCTTCGCGTTGCTTTCACTAAAGCCAGGAGAGCAAGATCCCTCCTGCTCTCCTGGCTTCGCTTCGCTGGAGAGGCGCTGCGCAGCTTTCCCTCTCTGCGCAGCGCCCCTTCAGCGAAGCGGGAGGAGAAATGGAAGGGGCTCCGTTTCTTCTGCCGCTTCGCTGAAGGGGCGCTGCGCAGAGAGGGAGAGATTTCCCCCCCTTGTTCTCCCCCTCTAAAACTAGGTGCATCATATGGTCCGGTGCGTCCTGTAGAGCGAAAAATACGGTATTTCTCTGTAGATTCATGATGGTGTACAGGGTTCTCCCCTCCATCTTATCCTTGCCTTGTGAGATAAGTTAGGTATAGGTTTGGGTGACTGGCCCAAGGTCACTCGCTGAATTTCCTGGCTGGACTTGGGTTTGAAGCCAGGTCCCCCTCTGACACTCTTAGCCAGGGAGGGGGAATCTCGGCCCCGTGGGCCAAATGAGGCCTCTCTGTCTGGCATTGGAACTCTCTCCAGGCCACAGTCCTTATTGGCCCTGCATCACCCACTCCTTGAGTGTGTTTACTTGGCTGGAACAGGTCCTTGAATGCCTCTTTGCTTGCCTGAACAAGGGAAAGAGAGAGGTGCATGTAGAAACTAGCCTACTGGACCAAGGGAAAATTGATCTTAGCATGCAGGCCCTGGAAGGTTATTGTTGTTGTTGTTTATTCATTTATTTATTAAATGTCTATATCACCTTTCATCCTGCATTACACCATTCTTGTGGGCATATCTGTCTGTCTCGAGAGGCAATGGAGTGTGTCAAACTTCTGCATTAGTAGTGCCAGAGTTACCTCTTGGGGCACAAGCCTGGGCAATATGTGTGGAGGGCTTGGGATGCCCAGATGAAAAGACCGCCTCCCCTCACAGCCTCACTGATGTGGTTCAAGCAGAGCAAGACATTTAGCCATCCAGCCTCTGCTTAAAAACCCCAAGGAGAGTCCACAACCTCTAGAGCAGTGGTCCCCGGATGTTGTTGGACTACAACTCCCATCATCCCTGAGCTCTGGCCTTGCTAGCTAGGGGTGATGGGAGTTGTAGTTCAACAACATCTGGGGACCCACAGGTTGAGAAAGGCTGCTCTAGGGGGAGACCGTTCCACTGTCGAACAGCTCTTAATGTCCAAAAGTTCTTCCCGATGTTTAGTCGGAATCTCCTTTCTTGTAACTTGAAGCCATTGGTTTGAGTCCTACCCTCCAGAGCAGGAGAAAACAAGCTTGCTGCATCTTCCATGGGACACCCCTTGAGATATTTGAAGATCATATACAGTGGTGCCCCGCAAGACGAACGCCTCGCAAGACGGAAAACCCGCTAGACGAAAGGGTTTTCCGTTTTGGAGGCGCTTCGCAAAACGAATTTCCCTATGGGGTTGCTTCGCAAGACGAAAAAATCTTGCGAGTCCCCGCGGGTTTTTTTTCGCTTTCCCCCCCCTTTTCCTAAGCCGCCAAGCTGCTTATCAGCTGTTCCGCTGATAAGCCGCTTAACAGCTGATCGCTGAAAGCCGCTAGACCGCTGTAGCGCTAATCCGCTAAGCTGTCAATGGGCTTGCTTCGCAAGACGAAAAAACCACTAGACGAAGAGAATCGCGGAACGGATTCTTTTCGTCTTGCGAGGCACCACTGTATTAAGGTTGCATAGAGTAGACCTAGTGAGGCACTATTATCTCAAACAATACATTCTAGGACTGTCAATCGACATAGCACCAACACAAACGCATTGCAGCCCTCCTCACCAATGCGTCTGAAACCAGTGGCATGTGGGGGGGCATTGGGGTGGGGGTTGCATGCATGTTCCTATCTTCTGCCCATGGACACAGTACAGTGTTTCCTTGTTCAGGCATTTGATCTCTGCCAGAAGACCAAAGCCGTGTCGCTTCTTGTTTTCCATCAGTTTCAGCTGTGTATGTTCAGAATCCAGGAGAGATGCTTATCTATGTCTCTTCTCCCCCCCCCCCCAGGCTGAATGGAGGGAGGAAGTGAAGCTACATTTTGAAAAGATCAAGTCAGAGGGGACATGTCTGCACCGCTTGGAGGAGGAGCTGATCCACCGGCGACGAGAAGAGCTCAGGTAAGGTGATGGATATAGGAGAAGGAATGATACGGTTGAAAAGGTTCCCTCCTTGTTGTCAAGAGCTTGGTGGCAGTGGCAGCGGCGGCATCTGTCTCAAGAGACAATGGAGTGGGCCTCTGGGGGTGGGCCTGGGCTTCACTGATGTGGTCCAAAGGAAAACAGCAAAACATTGGGCACCAGCTGGGCTGCAGGAGTTGCTGGAAGAAGGTGTACAAGGCGCCATTCAACTGCCTTAGGGCTCCACTCCAGATTTTTGTAGGGTTTACGTCTTAGCCTTTTCTTCTCCTGCAAAGCAGTGGAGGTTTAGGATCAGACTTTTCCTTCTTCTAGATGAGCTACCTTCCCAGGCTGACGAGCCTCAACTGCCCCTGTTAGGAGCAGGTGCTTATAAATAGTGTGGCGCATATTCTATGTTGCTGCAGATATTAAATATTGAGCAGTTTGAAGCGACTGGAAGCATACGAACGGACTCCTTTGGAAAGGAAACACCGCCCAGGCGATTCACACTTTTACTGGCAGGACTTTCTTCAAAACAGAATTAAAGCATCAAAAATATCCATACATTATTTTATGCTGCCCAGCACAGGCTTGACATCTTACAAAATATGAAATAATCCAAAGGTAAAGGTAAAAGGACCCCTGACCATTAGGTCCAGTTGTGACCGATTCTGGGGTTGCGGCGCTCATCTCGCTTTACTGGCCAAGGGAGCCGGCATACAGCTTCTGGGTCATGTGGCCAGCATGACTAAGCCGCTTCTGGTGAACCAGAGCAGCACACGGAAATGCCGTTTACCTTCCCGCCGGAGCGGTACCTATTTATCTACTTGCACTTTGATGTGTTTTCGAACTGCTAGGTTGGCAGGAGCAGGGACCGAGCAACGGGAGCTCACCCCGTCGCGGGGATTCAAACCGCCAACCTTCTGATCGGCAAGTCCTAGGCTCTGTGGTTTAACCCACAGCGCCACCCACGTCCCTTGAAATAATCCAACTGACATATAAACAAAGGTCTCTCTTTCTCTCCAGCCTGCTTTCCAGCCTCCAGTCTGTTTGCTCTCCCTTCAGGAAAGCCATTTACTTGCATTGTTTTCCCTGTAGCATTCAGAGAGACAACCCACGTTGCATCTTCATTCCATTGAGTTTGGGAGGCAAAGACTGGAAGCTGCTCCCTCCTCACATGATCCCAGGTTACAACCCCCACGTGTTAGCTACCAGAGAGCAGTTCATCATTACCTCTGCAACAGCTCAGAGTCCTTTAGAAAAACCCTTGTGGAAACCCTCCCCCCGTTTTAGCAATACACATTTATCCATTTTCCATTTTAAATCTTCCTTAATACATACACAGGGACGCGGGTGGCGCTGTGGGTTAAACCACAGAGCCTAGGACTTGCCGATCAGAAGGTCAGCGGTTCGAATCCCCGCGACGGGGTGAGCTCCCGTTGCGCGGTCCCTGCTCCTGCCAACCTAGCAGTTCAAAAGCACGTCAAAGTGCAAGTAGATAAATAGGTACCGCTCTAGCGGAAGGTAAACAGCGTTTCCGTGCGCTGCTCTGGTTTGCCAGAAGCGGCTTAGTCATGCTGGCCACATGACCCGGAAGCTGTACGCCGGCTCCCTCGGCCAATAAAACGAGGTGAGCGCCGCAACCCCAGAGTCGGTTACGACTGGACCTAATGGTCAGGGGTCCCTTTACTTTTAATACATACACATTTTCCATTTTGTGTGAATTAAACTATTATTCTTCACATGTATATCCACTCCCGTAGCAGACAGCATTAGTGAGACAGTGCCCCTCGCCATTTGGGACACTGCTGCCAATTCTTTTTCCCCCCTTTTTTTCAAATAATATTTATTATTTTCAGTAGATAAACATAATAAAAAAGAAGAGATTAACAATAATAAAGACAAACAAAAAATAGGAGAAAAAGAGAAAAAGAAGAAAGATACATACTACATATTACCACTTAATTAATTAAAATTAAGTACCATCCATCTTCATAAACATAGTATTTGACTTCCTCGAATCTCTTCCATCCGAATTTCTTAGTAATTATATGTAGCAGTTTCCAATATCAGTGTTTCAAAAGACCATATCACAGTCCTAATCATATTACATAGCTTTCCTTATCGTACATTTTCTTATTTATAAATTTAGTTCCATTTTAATCCTAGGCCTAATTGTTTCTTTCAAGTGGTTACATATCTTTAATATTACAATATTTATTCAAATAGTCTTTAGATTTCTTCCAATCTTCTTGGTGTTCCTCTTCTTTCTGGTCGCGGATTCTCCACTGCTGCCAATTCTGAAAAGCAGCCCATTGGCAGCAGAGCTCAGACACGGCTCCCGAGTCCTGTTCGTATAGGATGCCTGACAGCTGCTTTCCTCTCCCTCCCCAGGCATGCTTTGGACATCCGGGAGCATTACGAGCGCAAGCTGGAGCGAGCCAACAACCTGTACATGGAGCTCAACTCCCTCATGCTACAGCTGGAGCTGAAGGAGAAGGAACTGCTCAGGTGAGAAGGCGGAAACTCAAAAACAGGGCAGGGAAACCTGGGGCCTGCTGGGTGGTGTTGGACTCCAACTCCCATCAGCCCCAGCCAGCAGGGCCCAATGGATGATGGGAGCTGCAGTCCCAGAAACATCTGGTGGATCCCACTGCAAGGGGTGCTAGGCGTTGCAACTGGTTTTTACTGGGCCAATTTTTTGTCCAGGTTTCCCGACAGAGATCTCTCTCCTAGTCCTATTGGACACAAAGTCCAAAGTCCACTGAGCTGCAGCCGTTCTCTAAAGAAACCGGGGAAGGATCCTGATGCCTCTGGCTGCTCCTGACCTCTAGGTGGCAAGCTTTTTCTGGCTTGCTATGCCAGAGAGCTTGGACAAGGAAGGACGGCAGCAATATCCAATCTGTGATTCTGAGAAGCATGGCAGGTTTTTCCCCCATAAGCCCAATGATTCCCACAGCATCATTTGAGGCTATACAGGAATAGGGATGAGGTGCGAGCCAGGGCAAACCCAGTTGAGAAGGGCCCGTAGCTCAATGGCTAGGGCATCTACCCTACATCCAGATGTCCCAGGTTTGGTTCCTGGCATTTCCAGGTAGAACCAGGAGAGACCCGTGTCTGGAACCCGGGAGAGCCCCTGCCAGTCATTGTAGACAATACTGAGACACATGGACAGGATTACAATTTGTTTCAACCCGCTTGTGGAGACTATCAGAGGTCACAAAGAGAAAGGAAAAATATATGAAAATAACAAGAAGAGATGTGGAGAACAACAAGAAAGGATTGGATAGAATTGTGAACATTATTTGGACAGATTTGTGGACATTAAAGCAGCAGCAATAAGATGATTGGATCCCTTTTGGAACTTGAAATATGCGTACCCCCAACAAAAAATTTAAAATTCGGCTTTGTAATTTGGAATTTATGTGATTTGATGTGATTGGTCTGTTAATAAAAAAAAAATTTAAAAAAGAGACACATGGACCATTGGTCAGACTGGATACAAGGCAGCTCGTTGTTTCCCTGTGTCCCAGGGAACCCTGTAACAATAATAATTATAATTATAAAAATTTATTATTTATACCCCACCCATCTGGCCGGGTTTCCCCAGCCGCTCTGGGCAGATCCCAACTGAATAATAATAATAATAATAATAATAATAACTTATTATTTATACCCCACCCATCTGGCTGGGCTTCCCCAGCCACTCTGGGCGGCTTCCAACAGAACACTAAAATACAATAATCTATTAAACATTAAAAGCTTCCCTAAACAGGGCTGCCTTCAGATGTCTTCTAAAATTCTGTAGTTGTTTATTTCCTTAACATCTGATGGGAGGGCGTTCCACAGGGCGGGTGCCACTACCAAGAAGGCCCTCTGCCTGGTTCCCTGTAACTCACTTCCTGCAGTGAGGGCAATTGCCAGAAGGCCCTCGGCGCTGGACTTCAGTGTCCGGGCAGAATGATGTGGGTGGAGATGCACCTTCAGGTATACTGGACCGAGGCCATTTAGGGCTTTAAAGGTCAGCACCAACACTTTGAATTGTGCTCGGAAATGTACTGGGAGCCAATGTGGGTCTTTTAAGACTGGTGTTATATGGTCTCGACGGCCGCTCCCAGTCACCAGTCTAGCTGCCGGATTCTGGATTAGTTGTAGTTTCCGGGTCAGCTTCAAAGGTAGAGCGCATTGCAGTCGTCCAAGTGGGAGATAACCAGAGCATGCACCACTCTGGCGAGACAGTCCGCAGGCGGGTAGGGTCTCAGCCTGTGTATCAGATGGAGCTGATAAACAGCTGCCCTGGACACAGAATTGACCTGCGCCTCCATGGACAGTGGTGAGTCTAAAATGACTCCCAGGCTGCACACCTGGTCCTTCAGGGACACAGTTACCCCATTCAGGACCAGAGTGTCCTCCACACCCACCCGCCTCATCCCCCAGAAACAGTATTTCTGTCTTGTCATGATTCAACCTCAGTAGACAATTCTGAGATACATGGACCATTGGTCAGACTGGGTACAAGGCAACTTCCTATTTTCCTGTGTCCCAGGGAACCCTGTAACAACCTCCCTGTAAACTTGGATAACATATGTGTATGCATGTGTGTTTAGCTGGGGCATCGTTGTTTGCTGTAGTTAATATATTTTGATTGCACAACCATTTACAATATTTGTAGCTTGCCTTCCTGCCCCCCAAAGGATCCATTCCACCCAGCGGTCAGGTGTCTGCGTAGTCCGTCCTCATACGTTCTCAGTTTTTTCCATCTCCATCCGTAGGCGGGAGCAAGCCCTGGAGAAGAAGTACCCTGGGCTCTTTAAGCACCACCCTTCACGCAGCCTCCTGCATGGCAACACCATGGAAAAGCTAATCAAGAAGAGGAACGTGCCTCAGAAACTCTCTCCGCACAGCAAAAGGTGAGGAGTGGCCGGGAAAAGGCCTGCAAAGGAGAGAGGGATTGATGAAGAGTCTCTGTCTCTTTCAGTGTTGTGTGGCATGATTTTGTGGGAGTGCAGATGTAGAGTACCGTTCACAACTCAGCTCCCTAAGAATCTCAACTTCCTTCCTTTTTTTCTTTAAAACAAGCAGGCTTCTAGCCCTCATTGTTACAGAGATGCATTTGAAACCATGCAGGCAATGCCTTGTCGAATCCCAGAAGTCAGAGGAATGGCTTAATAAGCTTTGCTGTGGTTGTGTTGCATAGCTCCTGGCATCCTTCACATGCCCGTACATTATGCATAGTATTTTTTAAAATGAAGAATAAATTAGACATATTTGCTTAGTTTGCATAATTTATTCAGCTTGCAGAATTCAGCTTTTCTGGGTGCAGGATTTCGCTCTCCTGGGCACAGAATTTGTCTCTTCATCTACATATCTGTACACATACATATGTTTGAATAGGGTACACTTAATGGTGTTTAAGGTTTTCCAACACAACCTTCTAAAATGCAGGGCTTCAAAATAAGCCCTGGTGCAAAGGGCTTTTTACAATGTCAGTTGCATGCAATACACAGATCTCGAAATGTGACTGGCATCTGGTGAAGAATCTAGGAACCTGAAAGTCCTTGCTTTTTGTTGTTTGCCAAGCATAAAACCAAGTTTATAGCCCTTACGATTTCCAAACAAGCACAGCAATTTTATGGTCAGTATTTGGTGGAATCTCAAAACTCAAATGAAGGCAGGAAATAATTTCCAGTGACCAGGAAGCACGGCTTCAGTGCATTAAGCTCAACAAATGGAACTGGTTATTTTGGTACAAGCTGATAACTATTGGCTTGGCAGGCTTTTTCTCTAGTGGCTCCATTGTGGAAATGTGAAATGTGAGAGGCCTCATCAGTATTGGCATTCCGCCGGTTCTTGAAGACACGCCTGTTTAGCAAGCATTCCCCTGATCTCCTGACTTGAAACTCCTGCTTTAATTGTTCTTTTAACTGTTTTAACTATTATGCTGGTTCATGGGCTTGCTTATTATACATCTTAACTACAGATATTTTGCTAAAACTGTTTCACTATGTAATTCTAATTAAAGGTAAAGGTAAAGGTACCCCTGCCCGTATGGGCCAGTCTTGACAGACTCTAGGGTTGTGCGCCCATCTCACTCAAGAGGCCGGGGGCCAGCGCTGTCCGGAGACACTTCCGGGTCACGTGGCCAGCGTGACATCGCTGCTCTGGTGAGCCAGTGCAGCACACGGAAACGCCGTTTACCTTCCCGCTAGTAAGCGGTCCCTATTTATCTAATTGCACCCGGGGGTGCTTTCGAACTGCTAGGTTGGCAGGCGCTGGGACCGAGTGACGGGAGCGCACCCCGCCGTGGGGATTCGAACCGCCGACCTTTCGATTGGCAAGTCCTAGGCGCTGAGGCTTTTACCCACAGCGCCACCCGCGTCCCTGTAATTCTAATTAGGAGTAGCTATATATTTTTATAATCGGTTTTCTATTTGTTCCTTTGTTGCTGGCTTTTATTTGCTTGCAAATGGTCTTCCTTCCCTAAAGGAAAGGTAGCATATAAAAAAGTAATAATAATTAGAGGAATATGACATCAGTGACAGTAAAAGAGCATGAAAATCAATAAAGCAAACCAGGAACAACAAAACAAGACCCAACAGGGGATGCTGACAGTGTGTGGAACATTTTTCCACCCCAAAGGCCTGATTCCCTTCCAGGCAACTTTCTGGGGCCACATGCCATTGTTGGGCATTAGATTTATAGATCACCCTTCAGTTCGCAGAGTACAAAACAGGATAAAAACATAAAAATAAGTAAAAGAAAACAGCAAAACAATACCCCCCCCCTTGCCACAGACACATTTCAAAGGTTGTAGAATATTAATCAGCCAAAGGCCTGGTTGAAGAGGAATAATTTTGCCTGGCAGCTAAATACAGTGGAACCTCGGTTTTTGAACATAATCCATTCCGGGAGACCGTTGGACTTCCACAACGTTCAAAAACTGAAAGCGGAAGCCTCAATATAATAGGGAAACTCAAAACGGAAGCCATGTGGCATGTTCGGCTTCCGAAAATTCTTCGAAAACCGAAGCAGTTACTTCCAGGTTTTTGGCGTCGAAAGCCGAAACATGCGTCAACAGAGATGTTCAGCGGCTGACGTTCCACTGTATATGCAATGAAGGTGCCAGGCGAGCCACCCTGGGGAGAGCATTCCACAAACTGGGAGCCACCACAGAAAAGGCCTCGCCACGCTCTGGACCTCACATGGAGGAGGCACACAATAAAGGGCCTCAGATGGTGATCTCAGGGTCCAGGTCAGTTTGTATGGGGAGAGGTGGCCCTTGAGGTGAGTTATTATGCACACAGACACACACACACCATCCTCCATTCAGGCAAGGCAGCATGATCAGAGTCCAAGGGAGACGCAAAGAAAGGCCAGCATGGGGTATGGCCTGAAGAGAACCCTGAGGGTCAGACAGAGAGGGCTGGAGAATTGAACTCCCAAAGCCAAGGTTCCCCATTGCTGCTGTAAAAGGTCAAACTGAAACAACTGTGGTCCAACAGCTCCATCTGGTACGCAGGCTGAGACCCTACCTGCCTGTGGACTGTCTCCCCAGAGTGGTGCATGCTCTGGTTATCTCCCGCTTGGACTACTGCAATGCGCTCTACATGGGGCTACCTTTGAAGGTGACCCGGAAACTGCAATTAATCCAGAATGCGGCAGCTAGACTTGTGACTGGGAGCGGATGCCAAGACCACATAACACCGGTCCTGAGAGATCTGCATTGGCTCCCAGTACATTTTCGAGCACAATTCAAAGTGTTGGTGCTGACCTTTAAAACCCAGTATACCTGGAGCGTCTCCACTACCATCGTGCAATGTGGACACTGAGGTCCAGCACTGAGGGCCTTCTGGCGGTTCCCTCATTGTGAGAAGTGAGGTTACAGGGAACCAGACAGAGGGCCTTCTCAGTAGTGGCACCCGCCCTGTGCCAGATGTGAAGGAAATAAGCAGCTATCCTATCTTTAAAAGACATCTGAAGGCAGCCCAGTTTAGGGAGGTTTTTAATGTTTAGTGCTGTACTGTTTTTAACATTTGATTGGGAGCTGCCCAGAGTGGCTGGGGAAACTCAGCCAGATGGGCGGGGTATAAATCTATTATTATTATTATTATTATTATTATTATTATTATTATTATTATGCCACAATTGTTCTCTTCCACAGGCCTGACATTCTGAAGACGGAGGTGATCATGGACCCCACCCTGCCCCAGCTGGCCATCCCCGTGTGCCAGAAAGGGCCCCCGTCCCCCGGGCGCAGTCGCCGGGCAAAGTCCCGCTACCGCAAGGTCAGCACCCGAGGCAGCTGTGGGGAGCTGGCCGACCCGGGAGGAGCCAAGCGCCTAGAGCCCTGCGCAGCCCTCAGGGGGCTCCAGCACGACCTCCTGCTACGCAAGATGTCGTCTTCCAGCCCCGACCTCATCTCCACCACCCTGGGAGCCGAAGGCCGCAAGGGGGCGGCCGGCCCCGAATCCCCGCCAGCCGAGCAGCCCTGCAGCGAGACGCCCAGCGAAGACACGGCCTCCGTCCCCTGCTCCAGCAGCCCCGAGTCACCCTCTTCGCGACAAGGCGCCGTGGGCCCCGCAGGGAAGGCCAGGCTGCAGCCGGGAGAGGAAGCCGAGCGGGAGCAGGGCAGGGGCAGCCGGGCAGCGGCCGCCCCGCAATCCCAGCACCTCACGCCAGCGGCCATGTTGTATCGGGCAGCCGTCACCCGGAGTCAGGTAGGGCCGGGCAGGGGGCGCTCTTCCTTCCTTCCATAGGAGCCAATTCCTAGGGCTGAGGTCTCTTCGCCCCCTCCCCCAATAAAACGTGTGAGGGGGCCAGGACCCTCCCAAAATTGGTGGGCATTTCCATTCAAATGGTGTGCATGCACCGCATTCTGCAGGGTGGGGCTTACCCCCCCCCACCCAATATTTAAGTTTGCGCCCTTCCTTCCTTCCTTCTCTCCTCCCCTTCTCCTCTTTCTTTCTTTCCTTCCTTCCTTCCTTCCTTCCTTCCTTCCTTCCTTCCTTCCTTCTTCTTCTTTTCTTTCTTTCTTTCTTTCTTTCTTTCTTTCTTTCTTTCTTTCTTTCTTTCTCTCTCTCTTTCTCTCTATCTCTCTCTCTCTCTCCCTCTCCTCTCCCCTCCCCTCCCTCTTCTGTTTCATTCTTCTTTCTCAGGCGTAGTCAACCTTTTTATACCTGCCGCCCACTAATGCATCTTTCTTGATGGTAAAATTTCCTTACCACCCACCAGTGTTCGATGGAAGGAGGATTCAGCTTGTGCCGTAGAACCCTCTACTGCCCACCTAGAATCCTGAAACGCCCACTAGTGGGCGGTAGGGACCAGGTTGACAACCCCTGGTTTCTGAACATGTATGAGAGGAGAGCAGCAGAAAGGGCTAAGTTCCCAATGACACAGTGAAAGAGAAATGTCTTTTCCTGCCTCCAAAACAATATATATGAAGCGAGCAAATGAACATCCCAGGGGAGGGTAAATCCAGAGTCCTGGAGCCCTTGGAAACCAGGCCTTGTTTCTTGTGAAAGATGTGCATACTAGTCTCAAGTCTTGCGAAAATTCACATGGGAAAAGACCCTGAGACCATCCAGACCAGGGGTCAGCCGTGAGCCGGTCCACCGTCCCTCAGACCATGTGGTGGGCCGGACTGTATGGGGGGGGGGAATGAACGAATTCCTATGCCCCGCAAATAACCCAGAGATGCATTTTAAATAAAAGCACACATTCTACTCCTGTAAAAACACGCTGATTCCCGGACCGTCCGCGGGCCGCATTGAGAAGGTGATTGGGCCGCATCCAGCCCACGGGCCTTAGGTTGCCTACCCCTGATCCAGACTCAAGCTGTTTATGCCAAGTGCAGATGGCCCTCCAGGTGTTGTTGGACTGAACTGAATGGAGAAGTCGGGTGGCCAGGTGTCCTGCTCTTCAGGCTCCTCTTTTTGAAGGGCTGCCCCATCCCAAGTCCGTGTTAATGATAAAGAACCCTACAAATAGGGGGCTTGAAGCTGCCCATCAAGGATCCGTATCTGGACAGGCCCACAGGTCACATTCTCCCCCACAGCATTGAGATATTATTCCACTGAAATTATGTCCAAATTTGCTTCTTCGTCTATAGATTAGCACACACAGATTTTTATACAGATTGTCTGCCTGTGGCGATCACACAGGGTCCCCGGACATTTGACGGTCTATTGATCCCTGTGCCACCACTGTGATCGCTTCCCCGCTGCCACCAACCCGTTACTCTCGGGTACACACGGAGTCCAGACAGTTGTAAAAATTAAACCAAATAAACAAGTTTATTTTATAAGCATTAACAAGTTTATTAACAAGGTATGTAGGTAGGTAAGTAAGTAAGTAAGTAAATAAATAAATAAATAAATAATGTGTGTGTGTGTGTGTATAATATTAATAATATATATTAATAATTATAAAAATAAATAATAAAAAATAAATAAATAAACAAGGTTAATAAAAAAAAGTTTATTAACAAGGTTTCTCAGATAATTTTCTTGTCAGTTTCTTAACCTTAGTTTCTTTACCGGCCTATACCTTCCTAATACCTTCTGACTGATTATCTCAACTGTTGTGACTGACTGACTCCTCTTAACAGATTCTCTCCCTCTCTCACATCAGACTAGCCCAACCCACAGACATATCCTCCCTTTCTCTTCTCTAACTCCAGACTTCAGACTGACTTCTTAACAACTCTAACTCTTCCCCCTGGGTTCCTATAGGTTAGTCATTTTACAATTAGTTAACCCTTTCCTTAGGAACCCAGTATGATGTCACACACCTAGGAGGGCAAACGCCACAGTGCCCTCTTTTGATTATGCATTTGGCTCCCATCAGACTCGGCCATCATAGTGGGTGGTCAGAGTTGATGGGAAGGGTGGCGCTGTGGGTTAAACCACAGAGCCTAGGACTTGCCGATCAGAAGGTCGGCGGTTCGAATCCCTGCGACAGGGTGAGCTCCCGTTGCCTGGTCCCTGCTCCTGCCGACCTAGCAGTTTGAAAGCACGTCAAAGTGCAAGTAGATAAATAGGTACCACTCCAGCGGGAAGGTAAACAGCATTTCTGTGCGCTGCTCTGGTTCGCCAGAAGCGGCTTAATAATGACCCGGAAGCTGTACGCCAGCTCACTCGGCCAATAAAGCGAGATGAGCACCGCAACCCCAGAGTCGGCCATGACTGGACCTAATGGTCAGGGGTCCCTTTACCTTTACCTTTTAAGAGTCCAGCAACAATCTGGAGGACCACAGGGGTCCGCATCTCTGATTTAAGGCAAGCAGGTGTACTAGAGCAGAAACAAAATGTCAGGCTATTTTGAGGGTTCTGTATCTGTTTCCGTTACAGTCCCAGCACTGTGGACTGTAAATAAGGATCACATGATCCAAACAACAGGAGAATGAAATCCTAACAGAAGGGGATGCTCTTCCCCTAAAAAAAGGCTTGTTGATTCTTTTCGCGCAACAGGGTTGTTTGCTCAATCCAGCCCTTCTCCATCCATACGGCCACCATAGTTGACTTTTGCACATCTTTTATCTACTTGTCTGGGAAGTCGCACATTTAAGTAGGTGCTGTGTGCATGCGATTGCCCTGCCTCAGCTGGAGCTGTGGCTGTGAAGCACAGGTGCATAGCTGTCAACTTCTCCCTTTTCTTGCGAGGAATCCTATTCGGAATAAGGGAATTTCCCTTAAAGAAAGGGAAACGTTGACAGCTATGCACAGGTGAGAGGTTCGAAACACTGCCAGCCAGCTATTCAAAATCTGTTTCTGAGTGCCACGTGCATGTCTGTTTGGATCATGGCCCCAAAATCCAACAACAACAACAACAATTTATTATTTATACCCCACCCATCTGGCTGAGTTTCCCCAGCCACTCTGGGCGGCTCCCAATCAAATGTTAAAAACAGTACAGCACTAAGCATTAAAAACTTCCCTAAACAGGGCTGCCTTCAGATCTCTTTTAAAGATAGGATAGTTGCTTATTTCCTTCACATCTGAAGGGAGGGTGTTCCACAGGGTGGGCGCCACCACCGAGAAGGCCCTCTGTCTGGTTCCCTGTAACCTCACTTCTCGCAATGAGGGAACCGCCAGAAGGCCCTCGGTGCTGGACCTCAGTGTCCGGGCTGAACGATGAGGGTGGAGACGCTCCTTCAGGTATACAGGACCGAGGCCGTTTAGGGCTTTCAAGGTCAGCACCAGCACTTTGTGCTTGGAAACGTACTGGGAGCCAATGCAGATCTCCCAGGACTGGTGTTATGTGGTCCCGGCGGCCACTCCCAGTCACCAGTCTAGCTGCCGCAATAGCACTGAAAATGGTGGAATATGTTTTTTTAAGAATCTTGGGAGGTTGGTGGGTTTTGTTTACTCCAGTCTCATTTTAGCCATGACATAGTTCCTTTTTTTCCTCTTCTTCTCGGCTCAGAAGCGCGGGGTCTCCTCGGAGGAGGAGGAAGGCGAGGTAGACAGCGAAGTCGAGCTCCCTCTTCGGCAAAGGTGAGTGTTTGCCTGGGTTAGCCCAGTACGACTGGTGGAAGATGGAGGTGGTTAGGCCTGAGTCTCATCCCCCCACAACAGAATCAATCTCTCTGCAACAATAGATCAGGCATTACTATGAAGCTGATTCAGGACAGGTGGAAATGTCTTCACACAACTGGCTTTGGACTCATCTGTTGTTTATTTATTTTGTGTCATTAGTGCACCTCAGGGGTGGGGGAACCTCTGGCCCAGGAGCCAGTCTTAGAATCATAAGGTTGTGGAGTTGGAAGGGACCCTAAGGGTCATCTAGTCCAACCCCCTACAATGCAATAACAAGTCAGTCAAGGGATTGAGTTTGGCCCACAAGGCCATTCTTCCCCAACCCTCAGCTGAAATCACTTGTCAGTTGTGCACCGGTTGTGAGTGCCTGTTCGCTGCTGGAGAGAATTGTTCTTGATAGGTGAAGTGGCCATTCAGCATCTGCTGAAAAACTTTTGATGGATGGCCCGCACCTTCGTTCCTCTTTTTTAAAAAACAAATTAATACAAATTCAATACAAATTTAAAAGCTGACTTTCCACCTCCATATGTTCTTTATTTTTTCCTCCCTCTGGCACTCTGGTCAGTGACTGAAATACAGCGGTACCTCGGTTTTCGAACGTCCTGGACGTCGAAAGTTTTGGTTTTCGAACGCCGAAAACCCAGAACGAACTGCTTTGGTTTTTGAAAGCTTTTCGAAAGCCGAACGTGCCACGCAGCTTCCATATTGAGTTTTCCAGATGTAAATGATTCCGGAAATTCATACTTCGGTTTTCGAACGTTTCAGAAGTCTTCCAGAACAGATTCCATTTGAAAACTGAGGTACCACTGTAAATCGATTCATTTCCTCCCTTCATTGCTGTCCCAAGTACAATATCTTTTCCAATTTTCATTTCAAAATCCTCTCATCCCTTCTCCGTTCACATTGCATGAACAAGTACAGTGGTACCTCGTGTTACGTACCGTCCCCCTTACAAACGCTGCGGGCTACGCGGTCCGCTAACCCGGAAGTAGATGCCCCTTGTTGCAACCTTTGCCCCAGGTTGCCAGCAGTGGGAGGCGCCATTAGCAAAATCCACCTCTTCCTGTCCACCTCTTCCTGTCCTTCCTTTTCCGCAGGGTCTTTCTGCCCCCCTGGGTTCCTTCCCTCCTGCTTTCCCCTGATGCTGAGTCCCCAGACGCCTGCTCCCCCCTCCTCCGTGCTTTGGGACCAGGCTCCTCCTCCGGGCTCTCCGCATTTCCGCGCGCCTCCACATTTGAACTTGGCGTGCGTTCGCTACCTCTGACCTTCCTCTTGACAGCTACACTACTCTCTGTGCTACTCTCCGCCCCTTCCGGCAGGACGTCTTGCCCCGATCTCCTTCCCCTCTCTGCTTCCTGCTCTGCTTCGTCTGTCACACTGGGAACTCCACCCTCTTCACTCCGTTCCGGCGGGGAAGCCGGCCCCGATCTCCCACTCCCACTCGGGATTTCCCTGCTGCTCCCCTGCTCCTGACGAGTCCCCCCTGTGGCTCCCCTTGGCCTGACCAGGGGCGCCCCCTTTTGGGAATCCTCCGATTCACTTGAAAGACTCATGGAAACCCTCAAGTCATTGTCATCCTCCTCCTCCTCGTTCTGGGATTCTTCCCCCTCGCTCTCAGTCTCCTCCCTCATCTGTGCCTCTCTCCCTGAACCCCTGACAATAACCTTTCCTCAAAAAAGTTGAATAGAGGAAATCCTCTTTTACCTATGTATAATACTCATTAGTCTGTTTTAAAGTCAGATGCCTGCATCTTCCAAGGCAGTCTGTTCAACGGGCAAACTGCTTAGACAACCAGGAAACCATTCCTTAATGCAGACACACATTCCATGTGTGCAGCCATCCCATAGCTCACGGATGTAGCCTGCATGGTACCCTCCACATTTTGTGGGACTCTGGCTCCCATCTCTAACCATGGGCCACGGTCAGTGCCGGATTTACGTATAAGCTAAACAAGCTATAGCTTCGGGCCCAACTCTCTTGGGGGCCCCAAAAAAATTTAAAGGGAAAGAAAACTGGATGTACATTTCCAAAATATAAGATAAAAAACAAAATAAAACCTACATACAGCAACAGTATTTTGTGTTGTGTAGGCTCCTATTTGTTATGTGAAATGGCTTGAGATACCTATTAGGTCCATAAATTATCATACAGTGGGCGCTCGGGTTGCGAACGTGATCTGTGTGGGAAGCACGTTCACAACCCGCAGCGTCCGCAACCTGCAGTGCCGCTTCTGCGCACGCGCGGGTCGCGATTCGGCACTTCTGCACATGCACAAAGCGCAATTTAGCGCTTCTGCACATGTGCAAGCACCGAAACCCAGAGGTAACCCGTTCTGGTACTTCCAGGTTCAGCGCAGTGTGCAACCTGAAATTGCGCAACTTGAAGCGTCTGTAACCCGAGGTATGACTGTATAGCAGGTAAAGGTAAAGGGACCCCTGACAATTAGGTCCAGTCGTGGCCAACTCTGGGGTTGCGGCACTCATCTCACTTTATTGGCTGACAGAGCCGGCATACAGCTTCTGGGTCATGTGACCATCATAACTAAGCCGCTTCTGGCGAACCAGAGCAGCACACAGAAACGCCGTTTACCTTCCCTACCTATTTATCTACTTGCACTGGTGTGCTTTCGAACTGCTAGGTGGGCAGGAGCAGGGACCGAGCAACGGGAGCTCACCCCGTTGCGGGGATTCGAACCGCCGACCTTCTGATTGGCAAGTCCTAGGCTCTGGGGTTTAACCCACAGCTCCACCCGTGTCCCCTATATTCAACACACACACAAAAAGACAATTTGTAGTTGACAAAGGATGGCTGGACATATAAAGGGCCCCATTACCTTCAGTAGATCAGGGCCTCATCAAACCTAAATCTGGCCCTGGCCACAGTGGCCGAGTTGGAGGCCAGTGAGGTTGACTAGCCTGGCACCCCCATTGCCACACATCATGGGTCCATGTTGCCAGAGGGCTTCATATTTTCTCTCTCTCTCTCACCTGACCCAGGTGGCCTCAGGCGATGAGCAAGCGGCAGTCGCTCTCCACTTTCAGCTCCGAGAACTTCTCCGATGGGGACGGCGAGGAGGGCACTGCCAGCGAGGGCACCACAGCATCCCACAGCGGCGGCACACCAGATGTGGCCAGCACCAACACAGACGAGCGCCTGGATGCCGAGCGCTCGGACGACGACATCCTGGGGCACTCGGACGGGCTGTCCGAAAAGGAGGCGGCCATCCAGCTTGTCAAACGCCAGCTCAGTGCCGAACAGAACCCTGGAGAGGTGGGTGCAGTGCGAGAATGGCAGGGTGCTGGCATCCATTTCAGAGGCCGGGACTTTGTTTTGCCTGTGGGTTTCCCCCTGGTGGTGAACCTGGGCAATGCAGGAGCTTTGAGAAGGCTGTGAGGTCACTTTTACTGGTGCAGGAAAGCCCAAAGTGTAGGTTAACTGCAGCCCCGGAGGCCATTGCCTGTTCCTGCACCTACTGGTTTTGGTGGCTTCTGGTCTGTTGTTAATGTGCATAAGACTGCACCATCAGCAAACGTGGAAGCGGACAGAATTCAGCATTGTGAGTGGATTAGCTCACTATTTTATTTTTACATTATTAAATTTCAAGCTGCATAGGAGGGCCGCCTTTTGGGGGGAAATTCCCAAGCCAGAAAGAGAACCGAGTGAGATTGACAGCGTTCAACCCCTCTCCCTGACAAACCCTTTGCCCTTCCCTGTGCCTAGCAGAAGGAAACTAAATGTGGATCAAATGCAAGATTAACTTTTTCATTTTTCTGGGTGTGGACTATTTGCTTTAAAGCAGTGTTTCCCAACCGGTGTTCCGCAGCACACTACTGTGCCGTGAGACATCGGCTGGTGTGCCGTGGGAGGGAGGCGGGCGAGAGGCGGCGGCGGCGAGGATCCGGCGGGGGTGGGGGGAGCGGGGGCCGTCGCGCGCAACCGAACTCACTTGGCGCGCTGCCGGCTTGTCCTCCTTCAACCCGGGTCGGGCCAGGCCTGCTCACGTCCCCGGATCCCCTAGCAGCAGCCGCACGCTCTCCAAAAGCGCAACGCTGCGCGCAACCGCTCGGCCAGCTGGTGCTCTGCGACTCCGCCCTTTCCCCTCCCAGCGCCGGAGGGTTCGCGCGACCGCAGCTGTTCCCTTTCGCAGCGCGTGGGAAACAATTCCAGGCCGATTGCCTTGTGCCGAAAAGCACCGCCTCTCCTTCCAGCTCAGGCCCGGGCCGCCGGCTCCCCGAATGACGTCACGGGGGCGGGGCTTTAATGGTGGTGTGCCGCGAGATTTTTTTCCGGTAAACAGGTGTGCCGTTGCCCAAAAACGTTTGGGAAACACTGCTTTAAAGGATCCTGCTGCCCTCTCAAGGTTAAAGGTAAAGGGACCCCTGACCATTAGGTCCAGTCGTGGCCGACTCTGGGGTTGCGGCGCTCATCTCGCTTTATTGGCCGAGGGAGCCGACGTACAGCTTCCAGGTCATGTGGCCAGCATGACTAAGCCGCTTCTGGCGAACCAGAGCAGCGCACGGAAACGCCGTTTACCTTCCCGCTGGAGTGGTACCTATTTATCTACTTGCACTTTGACGTGCTTTCGAACTGATAGGTTGGCAGGAGCAGGGACTGAGCAATGGGAGCTCAGCCGGTGGCAGGGATTCGAACTGCCGACCTTCTGATCAGCAAGTCCTAGGCTCTGTGGTCTAACCCACAGCGCCACCCACGTTGAGGTTGCTGGGCTGCAAATCACATCAGGCCTGGGCTCACTAGGGGTGGTGGGAGCCGCGGTCTAGTCGCATCTGGAAGGTCCCAGGTCCCCCATCCCAGCTTTAATGAAGAGTATGCACTGGTATGATGGAAGTGGGCAGAAAAAAGGTTTTCTCCCTCTCTCACAGCAATGTTTGAACTCGGGAACATCCAGTGAAGCTGAATGTCGGGAGATTCAGGACAGACAAAAACTTCTTCATTCAGGGCATAGTTTAGCTGTGGAACTCATGTCCACAAGGGGCAACGATGGCCATTTTGAAAGAGGATTAAATGCATTCAAGGAGGATAAGTGGCTACTAGTCATGACCGCTATGCTCTGCCTCTACCATCAAGAGGCAGTATGCTTCTAAATATCAGATTGAGGGGAGTGTTGTTGGAATGATGTCCTGCTTGCGTTCTTTCCTCAGACATCTGGTTGGCCACTGTAAGAACAGGATGCTGGACTAGGTGAGGGACTGGCCTGATCCAGCAGAGCATTGGTTAAAGCTTCTGCCTTGCAGCCCAATTCAGGGCCCCAGGTGGCCTCATGCTGGGTGTTCATCAGTATGCAGATGATACCCAGCTCTACCTCTCTTTTAAATCAGAACCAGTGAAGGCATTGAAGGTCCTGTGTGAGTGCCTGGAGGCGGTTGGAGGATGGATAGAGGCAAACAGATTGAGGTTGAATCCTGACACGGCAGTACTGTTTTGGAGGGACAGGAGGCGGGTGGGTGTGGAGGACTCCCTGGTCCTGAATGGGGTGACTGTGCCCCTGAAGGACCAGGTGCGCAGCCTGGCAGTCATTTTGGACTCACAGCTGTCCATGGAGGCACAGGTTAATTCTGTGTCCAGGGCGGCTGTCTACCAGCTCTACCTGGTACGCAGGCTGAGACCCTACCTGCCTGCGGACTGTCTCGCCAGAGTGGTGCATGCTCTAGTTATCCTGCCACTTGGACAACTGCAATGTGCTCTACATGGGGCTACCTTTGAAGGTGACTTAATCCAGAATGCGGCAGCTGGACTGGTGAGTGGGAGTGGTCACCGAGACCATGTAACACCGGTCTTGAACGACCTACATTGACTCCCAGTACGTTTCCAAGCACAATTCAAAGTGTTGGTAAAGGTAAAGTAAAGGGACCCTTGACCATTAGGTCTAATCGTGACCGACTCTGGGGTTGCGGCACTCATCTCGCTTTATTGGCCGAGGGAGCCGGCGTACAGCTTCTGGGTCATGTGGCCAGCATGACTAAGCCGCTTCTGCTGAACCAGAGCAGCGCACGGAAACGCCATTGATGCTGACCCTTAAAGCCCTAAATGGCCTCAGTCCAGTATACCTGAAGGAGCGGACACTGAGGTCCAGCTCCGAGGGCCTTCTGGCGGTTCCCTCACTGCAAGAAGCGAAGTTACAGGGAACCAGGCAGAGGGCCTTCTTGGTAGTGGCACCCGCCCTGTGGAACAGCCTGTCATCAGATGTCAAGGAAATAAACAACTACAGTGGTACCTCTGGTTATGAACTTAATTTGTTCCAGAGGCCGTTCTTAAGCTGAAACCGTTCTTATCCTGAGGTACGTTTTTGCTCACGGGGCCTCCCGCTGCACCCGCACCTCTGGCGCACGATTTTTGTTCACATCCTGGGGCAAAGTTTGCAACAAGGAGCAGCTACCTCCGGGTTAGCGGAGCTCGTAACCTAAAGTGTTCGTAACCAGAGGTACCACTGTATCTGACTTTTAGAAGACATCTGAAGGCGGCCCTGTACAGGGAATTTTTTAATGTTTGGTGTTATTAATATTTTGTTGGGAGCCACCCAGAGTGGCTGGGTATAAATAACAAATTATTATATTATTGGGAATTATTTCTTCACATGCCCCAATTTCCTCACACTCCCCCTCTCCTTCCAGGATGCTGCTGCCTACGAGGATTCGGACTGCGACAGTGCCGAACTGGACCATTCAGGCAGCGGGGAGATGCAGAGACTCCAGGACATGCCCAGTTTGTGATTGCACCCGTTTGGCTTTTCCTCCCCCAGGTTGTACAGACCCCTGGCCCTTCCCTGCACCACGACCACCTCCCCAGATATTTATATAAATAATCTATAAAAGCTCTATATAAATCTATATATCTCATAATCTCTGGAAGGAGAGCCAGTGCGCCTCATCCCTCCGTCCCGTCCCTGCCTTCTTCTGGACTGGTTGTGGGGTCGAGGGCCCCTTCTCTGCCACCGGGGCTTGCAGTTTTCACTTGGGGCAGCTGGAGACGTGGAACAAACGGACACGCAAACCCTGCAGCCGTCGGCTCTGCAACTAAGCAGGGGAGGCTTTCGATACACACAGAAAGAAGTCGATCCCTTCTGTTCTGCTGCCTCAAGAGTCCTGGACATTGTGGGCCCCAGCAGAGGACCAACGAGCTCTAACCAGGCCCAGGGAGTCAGCGATGGGTCCGTGGGGCAGAGAGAGAAGACCCGGGCTGGGGAATGGTGCGTTCTTCTACCAAATGAAGCGGCAAGGAGCTCTCGGCGCACTGGCAAGGCTCAAACATCTTAGCTGGACCAGGCACATTCCAGGTGCCAGACTGTTTCTGATCTGGACTCAATGCATGTTTGGGCCGCAGTCAGCACGGAAACCTCCCCCTACCCAGAGCTTGGGAATAAGTTGTTTTCCTTCCCCTTGCCCCCAATATAGCCCTCCCCAAAAGTAACAACCAAAGCCTGAGCGCAACAAGCCCTCTTCTCTTCCAACAGTCCTTCCTTCCTCCCTCCCTCCCTCCCATACTGTATATATGTGTACACACACACACGGAAACACACACACAGACACACACACACACACTCTTGATGTGGCCCATTCCAATGGTGGAATGGGGAGAAAAACCTGCTCCATTTCTCCCCTGCTGGCACCAACATGCACTGCACTTTTCAAGTAATTTATTTATTTTTTAATTTATAACGAGAAATGTTTACATTTGCACTTAACACGTGTCTCTGTCAGATGGGTCTGTGTAACGGGGGGGGAGCGGGGAGGGAAGCGAGAGATAGAGAGATCGTGCGCACGGACGGACAAGGCAGGAATTGGGATTTCTGATCCCAACGCTCGATTCTGGCGAAAGCCTTTTAACGCTTAAAAAGGGGGGAAGGGGAGTCTGTTGAGCGTACCCCGGCGAGGAAGAATCCCCTTTCCTCTTGGTTTCTCAGGTGAAGGTCCTGGTTTGGAGAAATATGTCCCTCTCCTTTAATGTTTGTCGTTTATTTGTGTTTGGTTAAAAACACCAAGGGTGTGAGAGCTTAGAGCAGGGGTGGACGCGAAAGGGTTTTTTTAAAAAGAGGGGGGGAACCCGCTCCTGGTGCAAAAAGATAAACTAAGGCAGGGTTTCTCAGCCACAGATTTTGGGACCAGCACATTTTCCCGCACCCTCTGCCATTTTGTCAAAGCAGCCTGGGCGGCGGAGGTGGGGGACAACTAAGCTGAGACTACTGGGAAAGAGACGAGTTCCTGAAACGAAACAGAGCTGGCTAAAAAATGTCTTCCTCTGCTCACTAGCACGATGAGCTGTGGCTTTTGTGACACACCCTGCCCAGCTTATTTGCATATGGGGGGGGTCCCCCTCCAGTGTGCATTTTGCCTCCTGCCAGATCCTTGCTCACAGTCCTTACCAGAACAGCAGCGAAACAGATAACAGTGCACCTGAATGCTTGCAAAATACACCTGGCTTGATTTGTGATATGTTAACAGGGGGTGTCCCTGCCTGGCCATCTGATTTCCTTCAGGGGGGAGGCTGGCTGGCTGTGGTTCGCTTGCTCCCATCGTCGAAAGCCCTCCCCAGACGCGAGCTGCAGAATGCAAACCAAGTCCGGCATTTTAACCGCAATGCATGCTCCAGTTGAAAAGACCTGCCCGTTTTGACAGCAGCACTGCCCTGGTGCTAATTCCCTTTCTGCCCACAAGGGGGCAGGGGTTGCCTGCCCCCCCTTGCTTGGTTTTATTGCCACAGCTGCTTTTTTTCCTATTTAAGGGGGAATGCAGCAGCTTTTGGTGGGGAGAATTCAGTGCAACCAGGAGTAGGCTTTGCATGATGCTGCACAAGCCTAACACAGCAGCCTGTGGCAAAACACAACCTGAGCACGCTAGAGGTGAGGTGCTGCCACTGATGGTGCTAAATCAGATGGACTAGGGACGTGAGATGTCGTAAGGCAGCATACAGCCTCCAGAAGCCCCTGCCTTATACCTGCTGCTCCACCTTCTGTGGTGCTAAGAGTGGCATGCTGGGAAATTTCTTTCCATTGCCCACTAATCCAAGGCCCCCATGCGCCACTGCTACACCAGCTTTGCTTTAGGGATCTGATCTGCTACAGTGCAAACAAAGGCAGCCCACTCTTCAGCTAGGCTCACGTGGACAGTCTCCTTCAGCTCTAATTCAGCAGGTTAATTCTGTGTCCAGGGCAGCTGTCTACCAGCTCCACCTGGTACGCAGGCTAAGACCCTTCCTGCCCGCAGACTGTCTTGCCAGAGTGGTGCATGCTCTAGTTATCTCCCACTTGGACTACTGCAACGTGCTCTACATGGGGCTACCTTTGAAGGTGACCCGGAAACTGCAATTAATCCAGAATGTGGCAGCTAGACTGGTGACTGGGAGTGGCCGCTGGGACCACATAACACCGGTCCTGAGAGATCTGCATTGGCTCCCAGTACGTTTCCGAGCACAATTCAAAGTGTCAGTGCTGACCTTTAAAGCCCTAAACGGCCTCAGCCCAGTATACCTGAAGGAGCATCTCCACCCCCATCATTCAGCCCAGACACTGAGATCCAGCGCCGAGGGCCTTCTGATGGTTCCCCTCATTGAGAGAAGTGAGGTTACAGGCAACCAGGCAGAGGGCCTTCTCGGTAGTGGCGCCCGCCCTGTGGAACACCCTCCCTTCAGATGTGAAGGAAATAAGCAGCTATCCTATCTTTAAAAGACATCTGAAGGCAGGCAGCCCTGTTTAGGGAGGTTTTTAATATTTAATATTTAACACTCAATTGGGAGCCGCCCAAAGTGGCTGGGGAAAGTCAGCCAGATGGGTGGGGTATAAATATATTATTATTATTATTATTATTATTATTATTATTATTATTATTAAATAGACCAGCCGAAGAGATGTGTGTATTACTATATTGTTCTTTGCACAGCTGTACCTCCTCTGTTGGCTAAACAGAATCTGGCACTTAAACCCAATTGCCATTGAAGAGAATTTTTTAGCCCACAGGAATGCATAGAATTGCAAAGAGCAATAAAAGTTTGAAGTCAGTGGGCACTGGCAGCTAGGAGCAACAAACACTCCCCGCCCCCACCTACATGTTTGAATCTTCTGTGCATTTGCTGCACAGCAGCCTCACACAGGACTAGCAACATGCTTTTCAATAAAAAAGGAAACTTTAAGGTTCTCCCAATTTTGCACCACCTTTCTGCTTCCAAATGGCTCCAGTTATCGTTAGAGCTATTGCTTTTCCCACAGGGCAAAGAAAGGATTTCAAGATGCTTGAATATTTGTTGCTTTGTTTAAATAGGTTTTTAAAAGGGAGGAGGGAACCTCCCCGCGAAAAATTGGTCAATCCCTTTAAAACGTGCAGCCCCAGTGATAATGCAACCAGTACTGTTTCCACTGGGGTCTCTTGAGGCCACAGGGCAGCACCCACATGCCCCCCCCCCGGTAGATGGTGTGAGCAGGGAACGTAAGCAGCACTGCCTAGCGGGTAAAGACAAACCATTGCACAACCTCCTTGAGATGTCAGAGCCCATTTCTTCCATCAACTTGAGGCCCCAGGTCTTCCAGGCAAGAGCTCAGTTATAGGACATCTGAACAGATGGGCTAAAGGGATCGTGCCAAAAAGTCCATTAACTCCAACAGCAGGTAGGAAGAGTATGAAATCTGCCAGCTCTGCAGTTAGGCACACAGGACATTGCAAGCCAATCTCCAGCTGGCAGCAGTTTTCACAGTGTTCAATACTGTAGTTACTCCAACCAAAGGCCAGAGGGGGAGACAGACTGCTTCCTACATACTTCCCCAGCAGTAAGGACAGCCAGAAGCCCTCCCTGTCACAGTCTTTCAAGCAAGGCGTGAGATTTTGTGGGGGGGGGGGCAGATCTGAACTAGCATCTGCCTACAGCGCGATGGGAAATCTCACAAAGATTTAGAAGAGCACAGCCAGTTCACACTAATCTTGTTTAAATACACTGCTTGGCCCATCCTGAAGACTTGCGATGGCAAAGTAATCTTAAATGTAAAATGTCTCATTAAAACTCCATGAAAAACCAACAATTCTGAAAATTCACGTGTATCGTAGCTTCTTGCCCCCCTTAGCCCAAATAGACTAAATTATGCAGTTCAGAGCGTGTTTAAATTTTCCCTGAATTGGAAGGGTTTGATCCTTTCTAAGGCAGAGCCCAGATAGTCATTCCAGTTCCCTCCACAAGATCTTAACAGTGGTTTCCCATGTATGCTCAAGTTTGGCAAATCTGCTTGAAGACTTCACTTTCTAGCCTGCCCCTCCAGATATGGAGCTCTGATTGTTAAGAGCATGTGCTTGGCAGCTCTACAAAAAATGTTATTTTGAAATGTTAGGGGTTGGAAGGCAAGAAAAATTCTCTAGATTTAAAGGCAACCCCCCCCCCTTTAATATATTCAGGTTTAAATTGCAACAAAGGCAGGTTATTTTAAAGGTATTTGTTTTGGTTACATTAAAAAAAACTTTACAAATTTGTAATGCATGTGTTTATATGATTTCTTACATGCGTTCACTGAACACATCAGAGGGTAATGGGAACATGCCCTCCCATGCGAACACATCCACTGGCCAGGCACCCCACTGGAAACACATTTGGCATTAGGGACGAAGGACCATACAGCTGTGCACATTAAGGTAAAGGTAAAGGTACCCCTGCCCGTACGGGCCAGTCTTGACAGACTCTGGGGTTGTGCGCCCATCTCACTCAAGAGGCCGGGGGCCAGCGCTGTCCGGAGACACTTCCGGGTCACGTGGCCAGCGTGACATCGCTGCTCTGGCGAGCCAGAGCCGCACACGGAAACGCCGTTTACCTTCCCGCCAGTAAGCGGTCCCTATTTATCTACTTGCACCCGGGGGTGCTTTCGAACTGCTAGGTTGGCAGGCGCTGGGACCGAGCAACGGGAGTGCACCCCGCCGCGGGGATTCGAACCGCCGACCTTTCGATCGGCAAGCCCTAGGTGCTGAGGCTTTTACCCACAGCGCCACCCGCGTCCCTCATTAGGGCTGCTCTAACCAATCAGGAATCCTGACCAGTTGGGGTTCCTGATTGGGTAGAGGAGCCATACATGCATTAGGTTCCATCTCACACAGCAAATGAGCATCTGTTTCAAGATCATGGTTTCAACATATCAGGTGTTCTCAGGGTAGCTGGGACAAATATCCCAGAAACATCTGACTGGTCCCTTTTGAAGACAAAGAGTTCTAGACCTGATAGGCCTTTGATCTGATGCAGCTGCACATGGTTCTGAACTCCCAACTTTTGGCCCAAAAATAAGAGAAAGTGTTTCTAAAGGTAGTTCTAGAAGATGCAGCCAGGTTTTGCAGGATTCTAAGGCCTTTTAGCTGTTTCATTCTGACCATCTGTAATGTTGCTAGTCTTTCAAAGTGGCATTTTTTATTTTATTTTTGAGCAGATACACACTGGGTGCCTAACCACCAGAGGCTACACTTAACAAAACACCTTACTGTGCTCTGTGGGTCTTGTGAGCCATGTTGGAAACAGATTAAAAATGTACTGAGAACCAGCCTCCTCAAATGGAGACGTTACAGCTTGCAGTTGCCCCAGAACAGATTAGTAGAGAGCCATACTTCAGCAACAGGGCACATGCTTCCCATGTATGAGGTCACAAGTTCAAACCACTGGCACCTCCAGTTAAAAGATCTTCAGGTAGCACAGCAGGGAGAGATCGCTGTCTTGCATCTTGGAGAGGGGTTGCCTGTCAGAGGAGACAATTCTGGACCAAAAAGCCTGGCAGTAGAAATTTACCGTATTTTTCGCTCTATAGGACGCACCAGATCACAAGACTGTTTTTGGAGGAGGAAAACAAGAAGAAAAATATTCTGAATCCCAGAAGCCAGAACAGCAAGAGAGATCGCTGTGCAGTGAAAGCAGTGATCCCTCTTGCTGTTCTGGCTTCTGGGATAGCTGCGCAGCCTGCATTCGCTCCATAAGACGCACACACATTTCCCCTTACTTCTTAGGAGGGAAAAAGTGAGTCTTATAGAGCAAAAAATACGGTAGTTTTTTCATAAATGCACAGGGCACCCCATTGGCAACCGGAATCATCAGGCAACACAAACTGCATTCAGCCATAGATGGAATGAAGAAAGTACTCCTTTGCAACAGCCCACCCTCACTTACTGAGAACCAGTCTCCATGGAAATAATACAAGCCATTTTACATTAGCTCAAGGTGGAGAAGATCCCCTGTCAATACTGAACTTTCAACTGCTAGGGTTGACTTGTGCTTCGTCCTTTCCCAAGGGTCTCTGCTCAGGCTCTTCCTGGCTGCATTAATTCCTTCGCACCCCTAGTCAGGCTCTCACAGCATCTTGGTCCCTCGAAAAGGCTGCGCTGCACAGCGAGCATGACATCCGACCCATTCCGAAAACTCCCAGCCCAGTTTGTCATTCTTCCTGTGGAAGGAAAGTTCTCAGTCCCTTAGGTGAAGCCATACTTCCTACCAGTTTGGATCTGTGCATCCTCCTCACTTGTTTTAACATCCACCCTTGTAAGATAGATCATGTCTGTATGGTAATAACATTGCTAGATGAGTAATGGCACTGCAGATTTCAATTAAAGACCATTTTGTATTCAGCGTTTGCATGTTCTCAATGTAGCCCTGTGCTTTCCTCAAGGGTTCCAGACACAAAATTGAATGTGCTAAGTGGGGAGGGGAGGAGGAAGAGGAGGGGTAGGTACCAGTGAGGAAGGCATTCCATTCGGCTGATGTCCTCTCTGCTGAATATCACCAAGGCTCCCAATTCTTAGCATTTCAGCTTTAAGTACTTGTTCTGAAGCAAGCGTCAAACCCTAGGGCTATAAAAATATGCTTGAAACTGCAAGGATAACTGGCTGCTAAAATTTCGTGACAGCAGTCACGAAATTAAAAGACGCCGGCTCCTTGGGAGAAAGGCGATGGCAAATCTAGACAACATCTTAAAAAGTAGAGACATCACCATACCAACAAAGGTCCGTATAGTTAAAGCCATGGTTTTTCCAGTAGTAATGTATGGAAGTGAGAGCTGGACCATAAAGAAGGCTGATCGCCGAAGAATTGATGCTTTTGAATTATGGTGCTGAAGGAGACTCTTGAGAGTCCCAAAGAAGATCAAACGCATCCATTCTTAAGGAAATCAGACCTGAGTGCTCACTGGAAGGACAGATCGTGAAGTTGAGGCTCCAATACTGTGGCCACCTCATGAGAAGAGAAGACTCCCTGGAAAAGACCCTGATGTTGGGAAAGATG